TGACTGGGGAGTACCCTTCTCATCTGTGAGGGAAGAACTTGACTTAGAGGGAGGGAGGGCTCCGAGGCACCAAGTCAGTCCGTGCTGGTTTTCCAATACCTGGGCAGTCACATGTTAACAGATACTGTATTTCAAAAAGGATCTTACGCTCCATAAGTCTGAGAAGGCCTGGAAAAGGACAAAATTAAACAGCTGTTTTACTGTAGAACTTCTCAGAGCTTATATTGTATGCTGTTAGACACCATTCGTCTCCCAGAAAGGGTCACAACATGCAGTGTTTCCCAAACTTACTTCAAAGTACAACTCACTTTTGATAATTATTCTGAGCTAGGGTTCCCAGGGACATTCTTTGGGAAACACAGGCTCATCTTCTTAATGCACAGACTAGACCTGGCCATGGCTCTGTTTATGAGATCCAGAAAAGATGTACGGGATGCCTGTAATCCCTCAAAATAGTCATTCCACATTCAGGCTCCTTCTGGCCTTGAAGAAGCAAACAGTCTACTGGGAGAAAGTAGACCTGATGCTAAGACCCATGGCGAGGAGGCTGCAAGTGTGAACAAGGAAGCGCCCTGCACAGGAGCCCATGGTAGAGCTAGCTGGGTGAGACGGTCAGAGCAAAGAGCACCCTGAATTCTGAGACACATTTGTGTAAAAATCAAATAAGACCTTGATATTAATCATACCAGTTTCTTAGCCAGAATTGAGCAATCCTGTCTTAATTCCCTTTATTCTTCTTCCAGTGCTAGGAATCAAACCCAACACCCTGCCTAATTCTTGTTATCTTTGTCCTTATAGTTGGTGTTTTCTGCACTCTATCCAGCATTGACCCACCAAAATTAGATAAAAAGTAATCTAACATACTGGCAGAAAGAATGGCCTGCGATATATTTTTCAAGTCACCTGATCAAGAACTAAAATACAATGTCTTAATTCAAAAAGAAAAGAAAAAAAAAAAATCTCCCCGGCAAAGCCAAAACCGTTGCTGTGAACACAGGGTCATAGGCACATCGTCAGACAAACATTCAAGCACACCCCTGTGACCCTTCCAGACAATCACAAGGCACCAAAGGAGTCAGTGTGACACGTGGGTGTTTACAAGTGGTTGAAAATGCAAAGAATTCGGTGCTTCTGCAATTTTCCCTAGTAATCGGGTCAAGCATTTGACACTTGAGGTGGCAAAAAATTGTTCTAATGGCAACATCCCCTTTCCCGCCCTGCCAATTACCCCAGCCATGGCATTCCTCTGTCCACACTGGCCACAGCTGCTTAATCTCAGCCGCTCCAGACTGCACCTGTGAATCAGGCAGGCCTAATCACAGTAACAGATGGCAGAGGCCAAGTAGCCAGCTAAGAGCTGCTATCACTTTAAATAGTATCTAATGTTTCACAGGCACCAAACACAGGCTCCTCCCGACAGCACTATCTGCCTGGTACAGCTAACACCAGCTTTTAATCGCTGCACAGCATCCATCTCAGGGGCAGAGTTGGTGTCATTCGAGAGCTAATTACCAAGAGCTCTGGTTGCAAGGCGAAAGCATGGCAAATGCTCCCTTGGCCGGCACCCGTTAACACCGTGCCCTTCTGCACAGTGCTGGGCAGCCCAGCCAGTGGGCATAAGCAAAGCCCTGAGGCCCACAGCAGGTGAGTGCCAGAGCATCAGAGGGGGCTTCTGCTCACTCATCCTGGTCGTTCCATCCCCGAGACCCGCCGTGGTACTTTGTGACTTCATGTGGACTCTTGGGATTGTGCTATCCGGCAGGGTTCTTGCCCACCAGGACACAACATTTCCGAGACATGCCAAGTGGGCGGAACTGATGTCCCGATCAACAGGGGTGGTACCCACATGCAGTATCACCTCAGAGCTGTAAACAGCTGTCCCAACATTACTCCACCCTTCTGTGACCTGAGATGGCCACAGGCCGGTGCTGGACTCGCAGCTCTGCCTCCTGCTCATGAGTCACATTTTAGATCAATACTAGGGAAGGTGTTCTCTCCACCTTATTGGGTTACCGGTGGCCTTGACTGAGCACAGAGCCTGCCACAGCCAGTCCTCCACTCCTTGGCCTCCAGCTTCAGGCCAGAGCCAAAGAACTGCACTTCAGTACTCAGTATTAAATAATAACCCGCTTAGAAGACTGGTAGAAATCACAGAAGACCTTCGCTCACCCTATTACGCTGTTTCATGAGCAAGATGGCTAATGGGGTGATGTCCCCGTGTACATCCCTAAGCCAGGGGCTCCCACACTTTGGGGTGTATCTGAATTGCCCCCAGAGCTTCTAATTCAATGGAGATGAGGAGGCTAAGGAAGGGCCTGAGACTTTTCATTTCTGACAGGTTTCCAGAAGATATTGACACTGCTGGTCCAGGAGACCCACTTGGAGAACCACTGTCCTAAGCTTCCTCTTACCTCAAAGTAAAAACTACCTTTTTGGGTTTTTTTAATTGGCAGAACTGGGGGTGGGGTGGGGGTGAGCTCAAGGAATTGCGCTTTTTAGGCAGGTACTCTATACCACTTGAGCCACACTTACAGCCCCAAAGTAAAAACTACTTAAACCCGACTATTTTCCTTTTTGACCAAGCTGCTGGAAGACTCAGGGGCAAAGCCAAATCTTAAGTAACATATCTATTTTCTCTTCTTCCTTTAAAAAGCCTTAGGCTAAATGATCTTTTCAACAAACAGTACAGAAACAACTGGACATTCACAGGCAAAAAAAAAAATTAATTTACATACTTTATTAAAAAAATAACCTGAACTATATCACAATTGTGATCTAAATGTAAGACAAAAAACTATAAAACAATTAGGAGATCAACCTAGAGAAGACCTTGACCTTGGGTTTGCTGGTGATTTTCTAGATATCATGCCAAAGGCACAATATATGAAAGAATTGATAAACTGGACTTCATACAAATTTAAAATTTTTTTGCTCTGTGACTCACTGACAAAAGAATGAAAAGATAAGCCAGGGACTAGAAGAAATATTTGCAAAAAACCAATAAAGGACTGTTATCCAAAATATACAAAGAATTCTTAAAGCTGAATAAAAAAAACCAATTAAAAAATTAGCCAAAGGCCTTAATAGACACCTCTTCACCAAAGAAGACAGCAGTGCTTCACATCCTATGGCATGAAGGAAATGCAAATTAAGAAACCACTACACACCTACCAGAATGGCCAAACCATTCTGACACCAGTGCTGTAGTGGGTACGGAGTGACAGGAATTCTCATTCGTGGCTGCTGGGGACGCAAAGTGGCACAGCCACTTTGGCAGTTTGATAGCTTCCTGCAAAGTTGATCATACTCTTACCATGTCATTCAACAACCACACTCCCAGGTGTTCACCAGAACAGATAAAAATTTACAGATGAACCAAAACCTGAGCACAAACTTGGAAGCAACCAAGCTTCAATGGGTGGAAGCGGGCATAAATAATCCATAATACATACAACTATGGAAGAGTATTCAGTGCTAAAAAAAAAAAAAAAAGATGAGCTATCATGCCCTGAAAGACAAAGAAATGTGTATTACAAATGCAAGAGGCCAATCTGAAATAAAGCTACCGAGTGGATGATTCTGGAAGAGGCCAAGCTACGGAGACAGTAAAGAGGTTAGTGGTTGCCAGGAGTTAGTGGGAGGGAAAGAAAGGTGAACAAGTAGCACACAGGAGATACCTAGACCAGTAAGACTACTCTGTATTGGACACATGTCATCATGTATTTCTCCAAATCCACAGAATGTACAACACAAAAGTGAACCTGATGTAAACTCTAGACTTTGGGCTACCATGATTTGTCAGACTAGGTTCATTAACTGTAGTAAGTGTACCACACTCTGGTAGAGACGTTGTAACAGAAGAAACTGCAAGGGTGAAGAAATCTTTGTACTTTCCTCTTTGCTTTGCTGTGAACCTAAAGCTGCTCTAAAAAATCCTGTTCTTAAATCAGTGGGCCTATTTTAAATAACTAATTGTCTTCTTACTTAAGTCTCATTGAAATTCACTTAATTGACAAAAATCCCTCTGAGAAAACACAGAACATACCAAATAAGCCAAGAATCCCAGCTACTATCACTCTGGGAATATTCCAGCCATGTCGTTACAGAACAGAACTAAACTAATGCTGTGTTTTATTTTCTTTGTGCAACAAACATTCACAAGTACTCAGTCTTCTGAGCACTGTACAACTATTATCTCTTTTAATCCTCATAACAATCCAGAACATATTAATATTATTCCCAATTTACAACTGAAGAAACTGAGCACAGAAGTTAAAGGAGCAACTGAGAAGAGTTTTGTGAAGTCAAACTCAAACCCTGACTGCCCAGCTCCAAGAGGCAGTCACATTCTTACCCACCAAGTCAACGGCCTTGAGTGCTGGAACTCAATGTCCATAGCCTCATGAGTAAGCAACAACACTTGGCCCCTTTCCCATCACTGTCTTCAAAGTAAGGTGAGCTTCCCTTATTTCCTTCCACGCAGCAGGAGGCACATATAGTAAAGGTCTGAGTTTTGGACGAAGTCATTCCTTTTTTTAAGCTCTGCAGTGTAAGATGTTTACCATGAGGTACCACAACTGCCCTTGCCCCCTACTGTGACAACCAAAATTGCTAAATGTCCCAGAGACATGGGGACAGGCGAGACTCATTGGTTTAGGCCAAGTCTGATGAGTGGTTATGAAGAATACCCAGGATGGCACATGGTTCTACCACTGGTAGGCCTCTGAACAGAGAGAAAGCAAAGGAAAATGGAAATCCAAGAAAAGTAGTAACTGCTTTACAAAGAGAGCTACTGACACGAGAAGAAAAGACAAGTGACAGCAAAGGGTGGACAGCAAGACTGGTTTATTCTCAGATTGGAAAGTTGGGACAGTGGACACAGTGGGGAACAGAGAGGGCTGTGGAACACAGCATGGCAGTGCCAAGGATTAGACAGAGGACAGGTGACAGGACTCTCACACTCCTCTCTCCGGGCACCTTCAGAGGTGACGGTTACTTACTCTTGTTGTTACTGTTCTCACTGACAAAATCTTCGGAGCCATCTGTGTCATCCTCGTCATCTCCGGACGAGATGGCATCTGTATTGAAAAGAACAAAGCCATGGATGTGTTTGTGCAAAGCCAAAGATCACAAAGTCTTCCACTGAGCCACCAAGAGAGCCTGGGACAGGGTTTAGTTAGGATGACCTTACTGGCCTGAAGTGGCTCGGTGGGGACAGTGGGTCTCTATTGTAACTCTCAATGTTTTCTGCTTTCACATTATTTAAACATGCCATAAAACTGGACATACTGGAACTGAATGTTAAGTTTCAAACAGTATTCACGACCCTGACAATGCTTTTTTCTTCAACATAACTTTTCAGCATCTGGGGTCCCTTTTAAAAGAGAGGAATTAGACTCTAACAAAACTGAGCTTCTGTGTGATCCTCTGATTATCAACTAACATTCTTACAGCAGAACTTTAAACTTGGCCACAAAGTGGGCCTACTTGGTCCCTCACTGCATGGAAGGTTAAGTCAAGGAGAGAAACTCAAATCTTTAAATACAGCAATCATAAATCTCAGGTTTCCAAGTTTCAATCCTATATTCAAAATGCCAAGGATACTGGTGGCATGGGGTTGGGGTGAGGGGGGCACTCTGTTTTTACATCAAAAGTGTGCTATCCTAAGAAAATGTTACTAGTCACATGAGATCTCTGTCATTTGTAATAACTAGCTGGCATCTCTGGTACACCAGAGATCCTGAGGAAGAATTTTAAAAATACATTAGCCAGGTACACTGGCACACACCTATAGTCTCAGCACTTAGGAGGCTGAGGCAGGAGGATCACTTGAATCCAGGAGTTCAAGACACCCCCCATCTCAATGAATAAATTAATGAAAACCCTAAAGTGTATATTCCTGGCAGCCAATGAGATCTCAGTATGATTTCACTTGGCCAAAAAAATTTTAACCAGAAAATGGTTACAAAAAAGAAAGAACGTGATGCTCGCAGGCCAACTCACCTGTGACATTGACCATGAAGTACCAAGTTTCACTGTCTACAGTCCTAGCAGCAGTACAAGCATAGAGGCCGGAGTCTCTAGGTGTGGCGCCTTTTATCTGCAAGTACTCCCCAATAAGCACTGTCCTATTGCCGGGCCCCAAGTGTACCCCATTCTTAGTCCAACTGATCACGGCAGCATCTTTCAACAGGCAGCGCAACTCTAGTGACTCCCCTGGCGCGGCCACGTAAACTTCAGGTTGAGAGATTTGGTATTTGGTTGGTGGCTCTGCAGAAAGGTGGGAGAGAGAAGACAGTGATAGATGGGAAGGAGGGAGGCGAGAGAAGGTCCAACAAAGGTCAGTGGAGGCCACTTCATTCCCAGAAGCTGTTCTTGCTTTGCAAATGGCCCCAGGAGGTTTCTATCCATCTCTCCCCGCATTCCAGGAAGCCAGGAAAGCAGTCTGGCTCAGGGTAGACCTACTAAGCATCGAAAACAGCGATCAAAGGAAGCACTGAACAAAGCTGTCCTGTCCTGGCTTCCACAAACCATAAGGCTTTAAAATCAACCAAAACCCAGCATGAAAGGATATTCCACAAGACAGTGTTTAAGTCAATTGTCAACCAAAGTCTGCACATACAGTAAGTCCTATGAAATTCCACTGCTGTGGTACTTTTTATTGATTAGAACACAGTTATACAAATTTGTCCACCCAACATGAGTGTGTCGCACACATACACGCATGCACACTTACCTATTTATGTATGCTATACTGGCCTGTTGTAACAAAACCAAGTTTCTTAATACGAAATGTCTCACAGGGAACAATGGACACAACTACAAAACCTTTTGCCTTTTGAAGTTTTCCTGAGCTCTCAGCTACATGTTGTTCAGGAGACTTAGTTCTGTGCTGGGTGAGCTGCGATATGCTATTTTTCTAACAACGATAGGAGCCTGGAGGACTTAACACCAAAAACTAAAAGAACTAATGCTCCGGCAAGCAAGAGGTGGCAGACCCTAAAGCCAGGCTGGGGAGCTCTGTCCAATCCATGACACAAAGCCAGATCCACCCTGCCCACCAGTCCCACCACACATGCCCAGAGTCCCACGGCCTCTTCAGCCACCCCCACCTCTCATCTGTAGGGACACCCCTTCCTTATGTCTGTTCAACCCAACTCATCCCTCAAGGTCCAAATCAAGCAGCACCCTCCATGAGGCACTGCCCTGCACCAGTCACCTGGCCAGAGTGAAGTGGTCCCTACCTCCAAAGTACATCGAACCACTTCCCCAGCTCATGGGACAGACATATTTCTTGTGGATGTGCTCTGCCTCCCTAAGGAGAAAGCACCCAGAAAGAGGGCTCAGGTTTGTGGGTCTTTGTGTCTCCCACTTCCACCCTAGGGTATATTTGGCAAACAGGGAATGTAGCAACACTGACCATCATTATAGTCCTCAAATACACAAGCCAGGATGGGACCCAAGAGACTCCAAGCACACAACTTCTCCCCGGAGAGATGGCAGGAAGCCAGTGACCTTTAAGGAACACAGCAGAGCTGCACTGGGCTGGCCATGAGGGTCCGTGAAGCAGGCTTTCATCCCCAGTGAGAGCTGTGAATGGTACCCAGAGTCCCAGGCCCACAAAGCACAAAGCTTCCTTCCCGGCAGTGGGACAGCTCCAAATCTGAACAGCAGCATCACAAGGCAACTGTTTTGTCCAGAACCCACTGCAAAGGACAAATCTCCCACATGACTGAAATAAAGTCAATTCATGTTTCAGTTCCCTTGTTTAAGCAATCACCCTCTATCACCATCACCAACAGTCAACATGGAGGGCTCAATGCTTTCCAGAAGGGCCTCCCCTCCAAAGGTACCCAAGCCAAGATGGGCCCAGTTGTCAAATAGTACATGAACACAAAGACATTAACACACAAAAGGAAGAAAACAAGGTTGAACTGAACATGGACAAACACAAGGGCAGAAAGAAAGCCCAACTGACTACCAGCTTATGCTTGAAAAGTTTGTTTTTCTCACTCAACAACTATTTATTGAACACCTACCATGGGCCACAATCTGCTCTGGATGCTCAGGAAGCAACAAGAGACAAGACAGAGATACTGCCCTTGAGGAGCTTCCATTGTGAGGGGCAGTGGGAAACAGAAAATCCAGAAGAACAAAATGTATAAGGTGGTCTTCATGTGAGGAAGAAGAGCCCAGCCAAAACTGGTGGGTGAAGTCTGGATCCTCAGCCAGAGCTGGCAAACTATGCCCAGGGGCCAAACTGGCCTCAGCTTGCTTTTGTAAACAATCTTTTCTTGGAGCAGGGCCATACTCTTTGGTTTATGTATTGTCTGGGGCTGCATTTGTGTTACGAGGGCGGAGCTGAATAGTTGCAACAGACACCCTGAGGCCTCAGGCCTAAAACATTTCCAGTCTTGCCTTTGCAGAGCAAAGAGATTTTACCTCCTGCTACGTGCAGTGATGGGATATGTCTCCTCTAAAGAGGAGAAGCCAGGTAAGCTGAGAAGGAAAGGACAAAGTGAAGTTAGGAAGGCATAGCAGCCAGACGTGGTGACTCACGCCTCTAATCCTAACTACTCAGGAGGCTGAAATCAGGAGGATTGTGCTTTGAGGCAAACCTGGGCAAAAAAGCTAGTGAGCCCTCCATTTCAACCAATAAAAAGCTGGGCATGGTGGCGTGTGTTTGTCATTCCAGCAACTCAGGAAGTAGGAGGATCACAGTCCACATTGGCCTGGACATAAACAAGAGACCTTATTCAAAAACTGCCTAAAGCAAAAAGGGCTATAGGCATGGTTCAAGTGTGAGAGCGCCTGCCTAGCAAGCATGAGGCCCTGAGTTCAAACCCATAAAAGAAAAAAAAGGAAAAAGGAAAGATATAGGGAATTTGGTTGGAAGATTCTCACAACAGGTCTCCTGAGGCTGTATAAGTCATGAGGCAGCTGAATTGAGTGACTTAAAAAAAAAAAAAAAAAAACTTTGAAGTCTGGATCCTGAACAGAAAAGGGAGAAGAGGAGAAATAAGGGAGGAGGGATTCAAATTGGCTCCAAATCTCAGACCATCTGTCACTCCTTTCCCAGCATCCTAGAGCCACAGATTCACACAACATTAGAACCAATGGGGCCCTAAAGGCTACCCCATCCAACTTCTTTTACAGCTGGGTAAGAGCAGATGTCATTCAGGTCCCATGTCTTCAACAATTATTGAAACAGCACCCACGATGTTGGAATGTTATGCTGGATTCATCTAGGTCATAAAATAATATTTATTATGGCCACGATACATGATCAGCAAGACATCAGGAATGTTCTGGAATTTGCTTTCCTGAGCCACACTTGATCCTCAAAGATTACTGAGCAGGTAGGCAGGTGAGCAGAGCACTTGCTCATCAGGGAGGGCAAATGGAACCCTACAGCCCACCTACTTCTGTCCTGCCCTTCCCATAAGGAGAAGCCAGGTGGGTCCCTATTCCATGCAGAAGGTGCTCAGACTATGTGGTGGGGGGAGGTGGGAGATGAGTGTGATATTTGCAATTGTGATGCAGGCAACCCTCTCCGCACAAAGGTAGAGCTGTGACTTCTCTGTTTTGAAAGGAAGCATTTTCCCTGAGAAGCCCTTCCTCCACATGCAATTGATGAACCACAAAGTCATGCTGAAGCCACTGGTCTACTGTCACCACCAACACAGCACTGTTGTAGCAGGAGGAACACAGGACAGTGAACGCTCACAAAGGAGGCTCATCTTGGTTGGGAATGGACGCAAAGGATGCTTGGTAAATGGGAGCTGCCCTAGGTGCAAAGAGGAGGCGCTCCTACTCCTCTCTGCCCTGCAGAACCTCTCAGGCACAGGGTTCCCAACTGCTGGGGAGCAGGAATCCCCAAATATGCAGTCAACCAACATGAACTTAAGCTTCCAGCTACAACCCAATGAGTCAATGACAGTCACTGCACTGTCACTCTTCTAAACTGAAGATGTTCACTGTGACCCCAAATACCACCATGTTCCCGGGACAATCAGAGAACATCTAGACCATCTCCAGACCAGTCCATGGACAGTGAAGGTGACTTGATGTACTAAAAATAGATCTTACTTCCAGTAAAACTAAGTCATCCAGTTTCCAACGAGATGAGTAGTTTCCAGGACAGCAAAATATGGTCCTCAAATACATCCATAAGATAATGACCTTCATCCATGCAATCAAGCATTCTGACTTCAAAGCCTTCAACCAGTGATCACTGCCTTGGTTAAACGCAGATCACAGCCCCCCCCCGTTTTTGCTCCCCACAGGGCTCAGTTCACAAAAGGCCATGCCTGCTTGGGTCAGCAGTGTATGTAGTACCAATGCAGTCAATCTTCCGTCCTTAGAGAAGTGCAGGCACAGGCTAGGTAGGGAGAAGGAAGAAGCAAAAGAAAAGAAAGGCAGGAAGAGGTTGGAACACTGCAGAGGGAGGGGACAGTCAATAAGGACAAGGATGCTGAGGGAAGCATGGGACCACATCGGGGAGGGACAGAAAGCCAAACCATTTGCCTCCTAGGCTTTCTAGCATCCCTACTCATCCAGCCTGCAGGTCCCAGCAACCAGGGCACACACGAGTGACATCTTGGATCATGGTGCCAGCAACATGGCACCCAAAGAGCTGGCTCAGTAGAGCCAGTAGAGCCATTGGCTCTGCCAATGCCCTGCCCTGCCCCAGAGGCCTCCTGCTTTCTTGGGAGCTTTGGCTTCTCTTCTGCATTTGAATCCTTCAGGGGACCTGAGCCGACTCCCTGAGTCCTGTGAATGCCTCCCAGGCACACTTACCTCACACTGCTCAGGGAGCGGTCAGAACCATCTGTAATCTCCCATGACACCAGGACTGCTGTACCTGTGTACCTGCTCCCCCACTCAGATGGGCTTCCACTGACCCCGGCCACTTCCTCCCTGACTCCACCGAGTTGCACGGCCTGCTCTGTGAAACACGACTTTGAAACACGACGGTTGACACAGGGCAAGGACTCCCTGGGAAATCTAAACAGTACTTTTTATAGCAATATCAACATTTCCTGGATTTAACGTTTCTGAGGCTGTGGCACGCTGTTTAACTCTCTGCAGAGCATGCAGCCCCACATGCCTCCCCTCTGCTCCTAGGAAGAAGTTTCCAGAAGCCTGCATCAAATGCTCTCCCAGAGTTCTGCACAGCCAGAAAGTATAATTCCTCCATCGTTTTCATAATATAAACTGAAATTCACAAAGCAAGCAAGCTGGGACAAACACTAATGCTAGACATTCTT